GCCACAAAGCAGAAAATAGCAAGCACATGTGGCTCATCGTCCCTCAGCTTTGTCGAGGTGAAAAGCCGCATACATGACACACGTATTAATGAGAAACTCACAGCGATTCTTAACAATATACCTAAATAATTATTTTGCACCTGGCAGCCTTGACTCAATAATTTTCCATTTTTGCAGCTAGCTCACAAGACTGCTCTAACTGCTGATGAGAAAAGGTATTTAGCAGTTTATATTTACTAAAATAATTGCATTTTCATGTAGTGTATACTGTGGGAGACCAGACAGAGTGAAATCAGGATCCTGGGTTTAGTAACACTTTAATTTGAGCCTGTGGGTAGCCCTTTCCCCCCTCCTTTTTTCTGTTCCTCTGCTTCATTTTTTCTTCTCTTCCCACTTCGCCCATTCCTTTTTCTTTTCTACTAACCTCCTCTGCTCCTTTTCATTGTAGTCTCCCTCCCTTCACACAAGTGGCCCTCTTTCTTTAATGGGTAACCACGACAGAAAGTCATGACCTTTTTACTAACACACTAACCATCCCATTCACGACATACATATCTCTGATGAGATCATCCCATAGTGGGTCTTTTTGTAACATATCTTTGAATGTGTCTCCATATATTATCGTCCCCCACATTAATAGTACAAACTGTCCTACTAATTATTCATCTACCACTAGTTATTTTATATGTATTTAGCATTGCAACTTGAAGTAGGTTTTCTATTTTGCTGTACTCATCGTTTCCCATTTTCATGAGGGTATACTGTTTGCACTTCTGTGTGAAACCTTGCACAAAATTATAAGTGTGCCACAATTTTTTTTTCAATAATAATAACAAAGTGGAATATATAAACTATATCTGATTCTAGATCCACTGCATGCTAAATATAACAATCAGGGTGCCCTACTACAACATTGGAGTTAAAATCTTTCAGTCTATATATTCTAAAACAAAAAATTAGTTGTATATCAATAATAATATATAATAATATATAAATTGTGATCTGTAGACTTAGAAAATTCAGTCTGCAGCTACATGGAAAACTGCTTTAAAGTCACAATTGGGAGATAAATGTGGTAGGCTGCTTTCCTAGCTAACTAGGGAGCAATCTTCTGTTAGGTCTATACTTAGAATATACAACTTCTGTAACCAAATTGTTACTTCCCCTGGACTCATTATGCATTGCTTCTCCTTATTTTCTTGCACTTTATATGCCTTCATGTAGCTTATACCCCAAATAACCTGGAGGATTAGCTACCTGATATTTCATTGCCCACCCTAACCCCACCTCAGTATGCTAACCTGGAGACAGATGTCACATCAGAGGAACTGCTTGATGCTATCATGTTACATCAGTCAGGTAAAACTCCTGGTGCTGATGGCCTTTCAGCTAAATATTACAAACAATATGCTGATACTTTAACCCCTTATTTGCATTAGATCTTACAGCATGTGTTTCAGGTCAAAGTGCTCCTTTACTCCATAAGTGACCACGCAGGGTCTCACAGGTCTCTCAAAACAGGCAATAATGCTAAGAAGACACATTTTTCGGATCCAAAACATTGGGGAGCCCTAACACAGAAGAAATAGATGATCCCACATCTTTCCAGAGCTGTTGTACCAAAGGACATGACCAGAAGCTGTGCAAGAAGTCCGCATTCTGGGCACAGCCCCTAAAACAGGTTGCCGGACCTATGGTATGCCAGAGGTGGCGGACCTATGGCACGCATGCTGCAGCGGGCATTCAAAGCCCTCTCTGTCACATCTTAAAAGAATATAATCAGCATTTATTGTTTATCTGGCCATCTTGCTAGAGGGTGGATTCTTACATGCTGTCATTTATTGCTGACTGGGAGATCTTTACCCTGGTGATGTGTTCTGGCTCCAGATAAAAAATAAATGCTGATTATATTCTTTTAAGATGTGAGTGGTTTGGTATTTGCATTCATCCTGTTTGAATCTTGCAGTATTACACTATATACATTTCTCTGCACCAATTATCTTTCTATGATGATTGATCTCTAGTGGTCCTGGTGGTTGGAGGCTGATTTTATTTATGGTTTGGAGTTCTGAGGCATATATCTATACCTGCATTGGGGGATTTTCACCTAAACCTGGAGATTGGAGGCTGAGTTGAATGGGTCTAGGATTCCAGAACCCATAATTAAGGCGTTTTTTTCAGCATTATCTGGTGAGTGCGGTATTTGATCTTAGCACAAACGGGTGTGAACATGGGTCAAGGGTCTTGGAATATGGACTTTCAACTTCACTCTACTCACTATATTCATCTCATAAATATTTTTTGGGAGTGGGACTATCCAATTAATATTATACTGTATATATTATAATTTGTATTATTTATTATTTATTCTTTTGAGTATTTATTTGCGCAGTTTTAATGTTTTTTGTTATTTTAGTAGTGTTTACACTAAGGAGCAGCAGCATTTATTTGGGAATTATTTCACAATTTTTGGCTCTGGTGATTTTTGTATATATTAGGAGATCTTGACCAAGGGGCCTTCATTATATGAGTCACAATAGTATGAAATATAGAGCGTGTGGTATGCAGTATCATGGTCCCCAGATGAGGGGGAATCAGGTCCCTATAGATAATGTCATGGAGTGGAGGCGATAGCCACCTGCATGTTAGTACATGCATTATTTGAGGTGGGATGTAGCCAATCATGGACATGTACTATTTTTGATGCCAGATAATACAAATAAAAATTAGGAAATGCAAGCCCTGCCATTTGAGTGGTTAGGCGCAGGACCTCCAGAGCAATTCTAGGTACCTTGGGGTGCCAAAGGAATACAGTACAAATAGTGTCAATTTGTCTGAAAATGGATTTAGATATCTTACAGGGAGCATTAACCAAAATATTCAACAATTTAGGTAATTAAATAATTTTTAGAATATTGACCCTACCCATGAGATCCAACGGTAGATCGATCCACTGCTCAGTTTGGTGTTTCAGTTGGAAGATTAAGGGACAAGCATTATCTGCAATATAAGAATGCAAAGGCAACTGAACTATAACCCCTAGATAACTAAATTAAGTAACCACCTGCAGTTTGGAATCCGGGTGAATTTCTGACACAGCAGCTGAATCCAAGGGGAAAAGACTGGATTTCTCCCAGAGTAATTACCAAAATTTATAATTTTCTTCAATAAATAGGAGAGAGAATCATATAGGTCAGCGAGATAATCAAAAGTGTTATCCACATACAGAGATATATGTTCTTCAGTCATACCGGTGGGAAGGCCTTTACTGGTGGGAAAGTTGTGGATACGAACTGCAAGTGACTCTATCGCCAATGCAAATAGAAGGGGGGACAACGAGCAACCTTGGCAGGTGCCACGATGTTTGCGGAAGACATCAGTAATATGAGAATTCACCCTGATCCTGGCCACAGGGGCAGTATGGAGAAGATAAATCCAGGCAATTATACGTGGGCCACAGCTGTACCATTGCAATAGCAAGATAGGGCCATTCAACACTATCAAAGGCCTTACAAGTGTCTAGGGAGATGAGAACACAAGCAGGAGGTCCTTCATGAGAGTATTGAAGATTATAGAATAAGCTGTGAATATTCATTCTAGTAGAACGACCAGATATGCAGCCCCCTTGGTCTCCCTGTACAAATCTCATAACCACTGCATCCAGGACTTTTAAATTTTTAACGTTTACATTTATTAAGGAAATTGGTCTATAGGAGTCACATTTAAGGGGATCCTTATGTGGTTTTAAAAGAAGGCTAATTAATGCTTCCTGCATCAATGGAGGAAGCACTCCAACATCCAATGCTTCTGTAAAGGTTTGGAGAACAAAGGGGCTAATTAGATGTTTAAATTTAATATGCCACTCAGATAGTAAGCCACCCAAGCCTGGGGTCTTATGATTAGACAGCTGCGAGATGGCAAGTTAATTCTCCTCTACAGACAGTGGGACATCAAGCTCTTCTCTTGTATGAGAGGACAGGAAAACATCCAATACTTCGTGAGAAGGGTACCAATATGACCAGTAGGTAAGTAGATACAGGAAATGGAAGTGGGAGTAGAATCAGGTCTAGCCAGGTACACAATTAAACAACCAGCTTTGTTACCATGTTCAAAGATTTTCTTTGTGTAGTGTAAAGCATATTTTTGTTAGTTAAATTCAATAAGCGAAGCTCTTATTCTCTCCATGCATGCAACCATAGTTCCCGTGTGGATTGGGTAGGGCCAGTAGTGTAATTGCCCTTGGCCTGGAGCTTAGCAGTTTCCAGTTCCTCCTTGTATAAATTATTATTTTTATGGAGAGCACCTGTAACAGACATAAAAGTGCCACAGAGGGTGGTTTTGAGAGCCTCCGATTCCACAGACAGGGTAGCAGAGTGCAAGTTTGTATTCCAATAATCAGCAATGCCTTGTTTAAATTCTCCCTGTACTACTTGATCCTCTAGCCACAGTGATTTTAAATGCCAGTGGACGGAGCCCATACGAGGCAGAAGTTTTACGTCTACCAAAAGAGATGCCTCTAGGAAGATAAGAGACAGCGGAAATGAAAGGAAGAGTGACAGGAGTAGCAAAGGCCAGATCTATACGAGACATAGTATGAAAAAAATCTAAATGACAGGAATATTGTAGAGTATCCGGATACTTCCATCGCCGCACTTCAAGACCATAGACCAGTACCCAATCTAGAAATTTCAGAGTGAATGTGACCGACACAATCTGCAGTGTTAGCATAACAAATCATTTGTCTGTGTGTATAGATACCTGCACTATATCCGCAGAGAGTGATTTAGCCAGTAAAATAGACACTCCACAGGATAAGGGGTGTGGGTGGCATGAAAGGATCTAGCAACCCAGTTATCTTTAACCTCCCTGGTGGTATTCCCGAGTGTAGCTCGGGGTAAAATTTCAGTACCACAAGCGGTAACCCCGAGCTACACTCGGGCTTACCATGCGGTGTTGCTCAGGGATTCCCTGCAGCGCTTACCTTGCCCTTCGCTCCCGCGATGCGTCCCCTGCAGCGTCCCCGGTCATCGCTTCCGGCCGATTCCGGCTTCCAGCTTCCGTGTTCCGGTCCCTGCGAGCGTCGGGACGTACAGGGGCCGGAACCGGCTGCAAAATTAAAAATTTTAGAAACTGTCATTTTCTAATAAATGAATATGACATAGTAAAACATTACTGTTTCAAAGCATTTCACATACATTTTGTCCCTACTGCTTTGTCCTGTGCCCTGCCTGCATTTTGACTGTTCTTTCTGCCTGGAAACTTAGAAAAGTCCATGGCGTCCACAAAGCGTCATTTTAGGTCAAAAGCGGTTTTAGACCAGCTAGAGAAATCAGAACCACTTGCAGAATTGAGTGATAATGATTCGTGGGGAAATTCGTCATCAGACACTGAAATCGATTCTGCGACTTTGCTCAGCGATGTGCGAACTTGGCGCTATATTTCAAAGTTCAGTGTTTTTGGTTTGATTATATTATTGAATTAAATTTGTTATTATTATATTATTATTTTTTATGATTATTTATTAAATTATAATTTATGATTTCGTGTTTTAAGTTTTATCCTACCCGGAATGTTTACTAGACTCTTGTTCGGACAGATTTCAGTGAGTTATTCCTAAAAATTACAGGCTTACAATATAAAACGCCAAATTTCCATGCAAAATAATGGTACCGCTTTCAGCACCAAAAATCTGAAATAATCATACCGCCAGGGAGGTTAAGTGCTAAGATTTTGGAATTAAGCAAGTGGGTCTCCTGTACACAAACAATATGAGGTTAATATTTTTTGAGAAAAGAGAACACTAGGGATCGCTTTTGAGGTGAATTTAACCCTTTTATATTCCAGGAAATAATACTCAATGCGGGAGCCATAAGAAAGACATATAAACATAATGAAACACACAGTACAGTAAACTTTCCCAGAGTGATCCCAGTAAAGGAACTAATAGCAATGCATGTAATTAGAAACTCATGAGACAAAAACAGAAAAAAAAGGAAAAAAGTCAGACCAGTTGTGAGCCGTCACAAAAAATAACCATCCAACTCCCACCCATCCCACCCTGCTCATCCATCCCAAACACAGAGAGCTTGAGTCCCAAAAAGAAAACAGATAGGCAGACCCCCAGATGGGTCAGGGGGTGTCATGAAGCCAGTAAGAGGCCCATCCTGTGAGCCTTAGGTACTCTGAAAGGAGAAACAACATCTGAACAGTGTGATAACAATAATGAAGGACAGGTTCACAGTCATCCAATAAACATTACAGAGTAAATAATACTAGAAACCAGTAACTTATGAAAAGGCAGAGGAAAGTTTAACAACCCTTTATTATATAAGTAGCATAGTAATTCCAGTGGGTAAACGCAGCAAAAACTGGTGCAAGTACCCAGATCAGTGACACCATCTGAAGAGAAGTGGCAGAATGGGTCAGGCAGGATGCCTACACAGATTCCACCAGTGGAAGCACATCAACTATAGTGAAGGCCAGAAGGAGTAGGGATCCGGTACGATTCCATCTAGCTGTTGGTCCAAAACGAGCATCCAGCCAGGATGAAGCTTCTTTTGGAGCAGAAAAGAAGTGGGCTTTTCCATCATGAGTAATGCGTAACTTAGCATAAGGAAGACCATGCAGTTAAAGATGATCCTTTACAGCTGTAAAGGAGGTGCGCTGGCATTGGACCTCCGCCAAGGAGTCCAGGTAGATGGAGATGGTGTTGCCAGTGTAGTGAAGCACTTCTTTCTTTCTTGCCAGGTGTAGAATGGTCATCTTATTCTGAAAGTTGAGGACGCAAGTGATGAGAGAACGCAGTGGTGAGCTCAGTGGAGGTTGACAGAAGGGTGTACGGTGTGCTTTTTCAATAGCAAATATAGAAGGTAGTGGATTAGCCCCAAATGCTACATGTAGCCAAGAACAAAGAAAATGTTTTGACTGGCTCCCTCAGAACACTCTGAAAATCCCATAAAGCAAAGATTTTTGCTGCACGAGCGGTTCTCTAAATCATCCAATTTAGCTTTAAGGGCTGCCAACTCATCTGAAGCAGAACAGACTGTAGGAGACAGAAGATGAGCATGTCTTCTATGGAGCCAATTCATTCCTCAGCTGCTACTGTTCTTTTCCTCAGGCTCTGCACATCCTGTTTCAGCAAAGAGAATCCAATACGGATGATCTCTATTTGGGTAGTAAGGGTAGCTTTGAAGTCCTGTATAGCCTGCATGATCTCGAAGAGTGTAGGCTGAGCTTGTGGAGTATCAGGATCACTGTCAATGGCAGCATGGTGCAGGGGAATTAGGATGGATAAGAGGAGAAGCACTCACTGCTGCAGAGCATGCTGCATGACTGTAGACAGTGCAGGGAGATCAGCGCCTTCTTGACTGTGTAACCTGGTCAACTTCTCTGTCACCGCAGCAGCCATAGTCTGCCCCATTTTCACCATTTTGATGGTGTGTGTGTGTGTGGGGGGGGGGGGGGGGCAGGCACCACCAGGAAGGACACTGAGTATTGCAGCAGAGAATCCACCTCAGGATGAGTGCAGGATGATTGGGGAACACCAAAGCTCAGGAATTAAGCAGCTGCTTGGTCTGCCATCAAGGATATTTACCTTAATGAATTCTCTGCATTGAGGTAAAAAACCTTCCATGGTCAGATTCCCCCAGCCTAAATACTTACCTGAGCCCTATCTTGATCCAGTGATGCTCTCCCTCTCTCTCCTCACTGGACATAGAGGCAGTAGTGGGAGCCATTGGATCCTGCTGCTGTCAATCAAATCATGTGAGGAGGGAGTGAGGCTGAGCCAGTCTTGTGTGTCAATAGACACACAGCCCAGCTTGGTATCAAGCCCACATGTGTGCCACCATAGGAAGCATCCTCCCTTGGTGGCACATGCAGAAGGGGAGAAGCCTAGAGTGCTGGTTGGGACCCCAGAAAAGGAGGTTTTGAAAAACCATTGCACAGAGCAGGTAAGTATGACAGTAAGTCTGTTATTTGAAATTAAAAAAATGTTAACGTTATCACTTTAAGCATGATAATATTGCTATCAGCTCTATGAATGCTGAGAAATTATTTGATTTCATGTTGCCATGAAACCCTCACCAAATTTGGATTTGGTCCTGGTTTCATTACATGGATCAAGCTGTTGCACTCTGCTCCTGCAGCTAGGGTTTTTGCCAATAATGATAGCTCATAATATATTTTGGCCTACATAGGGATATGAGGCAGGGCTTTCCCCAGATCTTTTTGCAGTGGCCGTGGAACCTCTGTGGTCTGTGGGTGAGATCATTGGAAGATAAGATATCATTATATCCACTCCTCCCACCACCTCATCCCCCACAGCCACTTCCTCATGTACCACTTTCCCCTCCCTCCTAGATTGTAAGCTCAAAAGAGCAGGGCCCTCGAACCCCTCGTGTATCGCACTGTCTCTGTCTTGTCTAATGTCTTGTCCCCCTGCCTTTGTACAGCGCTGAGCAAACCCTTTGGCGCTATATAAATACTGTATAATAATAATTATATGCTGATGATGTTTTATTACATCATCAGCATATAATAAAATAATATATAATGCACAGTCCTCCTTGACATCTACCCTTCATACCTTTGATGCATTTGAGTTTTATTAAAGGATAAAAATCAACTGGTCTAAGTCCAATTTTTTTCCCATTGATACACAAGCACAAAAAATGGTTTCCTCATCTTTACCATGGGTCCAGCAATTTAAAAACGGTGGGTATTTATATTTAATCTGATCCTAAGTACTTCTTTGATTTGAATTTTACCCCTGTTACTACACAGCTTAAATTTAAATGTGAATCCTGGTATGCTTTCCCTTTATCTCAGGTGGAAAGAGTCAACCTTTTCAAAATAATTTTTCTCTTCAAATTTACCTATGCCTTTCAGCAAACCCCAGTCTGGGTTCCTCCCTGAATGTTTTGTATAAATATTGCTACCATCTCATCTTTTTTATGGGCCATTAAACCCCCAAGAATATCATTAGCTACTTTGCAACTTCTAACAGAGGATGCAGGCCTGGCATTGCCCAACTTATACTTTTACTATTTTGCATTGCTCCTAGTTACTTTACATTGGTGGTTTACCATTCACAAAGGTAATTGGGCCCTTGACTTGGAAGTGACTGTGGTTGAATCCCCATCTGCTCTTCACTCTTTAGTGTACAGAGGACCCTACTTTCTTCTAAATATACCTTTGCCAATAAAATCTACTTTAAAAAATTATACACTCTTGGTAAATTCAACAGTACCCCAGAAATTTGGTCTCTTTTCACTCTTCTTTGGAATAATCCCTTTCTTCCCCATTTAAACTCCATTCCTAACCAGATTATTTGGAATAGAATTGGTATTCAGACCCTTTCTCAGCTGTTTCAGGTAGGGGAGTTTTTTACCTTTAACTCACTGAAGAGGGAATATGGTCAAATTTCCCCAAATGCCAAATCTTACTACAACTCTCTCTTCAATCTATGCCCACCTTATTACCTACCACTGAGCTAAAACTTCCTCTCTATTTCAAAAGTAGAATGATATACCAATTCTTTCAGAAGCAGAATGGAGGATGTGGTGGCTCAATATATTAAATTGACGGTCTCTGCAAGGGACGAATTTGTGCAACTGAAATTTCTACATAGCATTTATTACACCCCTCAGCGGCTACATGACAATATAGCTCCCTTTCTCCAATTTGTTACAAATGTCAGAAAAATACTGGTTCCTTTTACAACGTGGTTTGGAGCTGTCCACTAGCTTATGAATATTGGGAAAATATAGCATATAGACTGACAACAGTACTAAACCTACCCTTGACTCCAGAACCCTTGGTATTCATTTTGGGTTTAATGATACCCCAAATATTTCCAAACATGCAAACCTCCTGCTCTTTTACGTCTCTCGCTATGCTAGAGGAGAGATACTACTTAAATGGAAGCTACCAACCCCATTACCTTACTCCGACTGGTATCTGGCTGTCAGCGCGTCCAGTGTATCAGCTACCGTATATAAGCAGAGGATGCCTGACTTAATATAAAAAGATTTGATCCATGTGGACAAGTTCTGTATGACAACCCCATTCTCATTTACCCTCCCCCTTCCCTTCCACATAAAGGCTAACAATTTTTGTCCAGACTAGTAATTTGGAGCATGTTCATTGTTGCTAATGTCTTGTTATGATTTGACTATTGGGAAGGCTTTTTTGTATGTTTCACCTCTTGTATCTATTTTCTAGTGCTGTGCTTAAGATGTGATATATTTCATTATATTTTGTCTTCATGTAAAATCAAACATTCTTTTAAATACAGCTGGTGAAAAAAAATGTCACAAGATCATCACATTTCATGCTATGAATGATCAAA